CCCATGCAATTCCCAAGGCACTCTTGTCACAGAGACAGTGATGAATAGGAGCTGAGCAGCGAGCCCACTGCCATCTCACTGCCTGACTTGTAAGCACCTTATGACCATTCAGCACCACTTCAGCCAGGGGGGTCTGCTGGGACAAAATTAATTATCTGCCCTACACTCTCCTGAAAGCACTGCTGTGAAGTTATGTGGCTTACAATTCCAACCTGATGTGGGTTCTTTTTATTATTGGATATATTTTGCTTTATTAAATCTCTGATCGTCTTTTCCAAAGGAGCCAAAAAGGTTAAAACCGTGCAATTTCCACTTTTCCATTTTATTATAGAAAGATGTTTGTTTCGAAGTAAGAGTGGGTGAGAAGGGCAAAATAGTAAACAATTGAGCAACTTAATTGAAAGCTACAAAGTTAACCTCTCGCTACTCTGAAAGTGAATTCTTCCATAAAGACTCTGGTGCAAGACAACAAAACAATAGCAACTCTGGGAGTCAATTGCCCCCTGAGTCGTGGTATCTCCCTCCCCACCCCTAAAATAAAATATTTAAAAGTCAAAAATGTTTGCTTGAGAATAGCCTGCTTAGCTGTCACAGCTCATATTGGAAGTGAGCAGTGCTACCATTTGATGTCCACACTAAAAACAATTAACAAATACATTTTGTGACTTTCAACATTTTTTGTTTACCCTATCACCCCCACACAAATGGCATTTACTAGAGATGGCTATCGCCTAGGAAGTGCAGCTAAAAACATCTGCAATCCTTGTTAACACATTCACGATACATTTAAAACACCCTGTTCAATAGTGAGAAAGAACAGATTTTAAATCACTAAGCAGTTCATCATCAAATTCATATCCCTGTTCAAAAAGCCCGACCTCCTGCCGAAGCCGGCAGCATGTCAGCCTATTTCATCACCCAAAGGAGCAGCCAGGCGCTGCTCAGGTGGGACACGCCGCAGGCACCGCACAGCCCCGGCCCCGCTCTCAGGCAGCCGGGGAGGTGTGCTCGGAAGGGAAGCCGCGCTCCCCGAGCTGGGATCCCGCTCTGCCCTCCGGAGCCGCGGGGCAGAGCAGCGGGACAGCGCCCGGCTCAGCCCGCAGCCTCCATCCCCGGCAGCCCCCAAACATCGCTCCCTCGCAGGCATGCCCAGAAATGATCTGCCAGAACTGAATAAATGAACCTAACGAAGGGGCAGCATGCTAATGAGAGCTACAAATACCAGAGAGGCTTATTTACTCTGCAGCCTTCCACCACATCATGGTACCACTGCCTGCATTTCCCCATCAAAGTCCAACAGCCACGCGAGCCCGTGAAGCTCCCATCGCCAAATGATGCTGCAGCTCCTGCCCGTATCCCTCCGAACGACTGAGGAGGGTCAGGCTCCATACCCTGCAGCCCACATTTCCTACTTCACATTAGACAATGGAATAAATATGCAAATCCCTACTGCTTGTGAAAGAGCAGGATACAAACCAGCCCCAAAAGCAATCTGGACTTGAAGTTATATATATTCTGTGAAATTATTTTTGAAGTACTAAACAGAAGCCATGTATCTTTTAATCTGAAAGCATGAATGCAAATTGTCCAATGCATTTGGATTGCTAGTTTTTAAGAAGTATCCTTGTTTATATTTTTGCATTTAAGCATATAAAAACCTTAAAAAAGTCGAGCAGCTCCTTTTCCTTTTATCCTTAACGTCACAGTATTTAAGTTGTCCAGTTACATATATGAAGTGAATTTTCCATCAAACTGTCATGGCAATACAAGCTTTTACTCCTTTACCCATTTTCCCCATTTCATTGTGAAAAAAATTCTATGAAGTAATGGAAAACTGAAGCAGAGGTGCTAAAAATACAAACCTCTTTTTGTAGGGTGGGTGTAGAGATAGGAGAGCTGTAGGATTATATTGAATTATATGCAAATGTAAGGGAAGAAAAAGGCCACAATTTTCCAGTTTGGTTTTTATTTTTTTGGTATCAATTACTCACATCTCCTATTTAGCACTAGTTTTATTAGAATACTGTATCCATATCTGTGGAGAGATAGAGAAATTAAACACATGCTATTTATCTCAGAGCTCTTTTAACCTAGTAAATATTTTCATCTTCTGTACATTTGTAGATGAGTGGTATCTGTCTTTTATCTACACTCAATCCCTCTTCCAGGGTCAAAAAAGCCTACAAAAGAGCAATGAAGCAACAGTGATCACAACTCACTGGTAGGCCTTGAACTGGTACCAGCATTTGAAAGATGTGATGGTGTTTGGGGATATTTTATTGAGGAGAGGGCAGATCTATAATCCATTTTTTCTCAGCATCACGTCTGGCTCAGAGCAAGAGCAAAAACAGATACTGACAGACTGCATGCAAATTTATCTTTAACACATCTTTACCAATGCTGTAATATATTATAGCTGCCTTGCTTCAGCCTGACTTTCCACCTGCTTGTTCAAAAAGGAAAACAACTCTAAACTTCAAGCTTCAGTTACTAGAAGTACATTTTAAGGGCAAGCAAAAGTTTTAGATGAATGAGACAATCATCTGTTGCTATCTCAGGGTAAACATTTAAGCTTCGGAATTAAGTTTCCAAACATTTGCCACTCTCTACTCTAAACCATGACTTACATGTCTTCAATTTGTATTGAACTCAAACTTCATTTAGTCAATTACTGCATCTGTCTAAAGCAAGATGTTTCACAAAAAATTCCTCTTTCTGATAAACAATGGAGACCAAAAAACTAAGATATACAGTAAACACTGCATCCTCAAGCCAAAAAAACATTGCACACCAGCTTTGGGCTCCCCAGATCCAGAAGCAAATTAAGACAGTACAATTAACACAGAACTCCAGTAACATGAGAGATCAAAATCACATCTCTGTCTCCAAAAATACATACATAAAGATTTGGTTCTATTTATGATTCTTAAAGAGACTCAAGAGCCACCATTCAAACTGTAGCATAAAATGTTTAAATAACCACACTTTCAAAAGCATTTAGATGGGTTAAAGAAATGTGTGTCTTAAAATCACCATAACATGGTAGCAACACAGAACACCTTTTATCTTCAGGAATTTCTCCTTTAAGCTTTGTTAAAAAACTTGACCCTGGGAGTGTTTTAGAAGCTGAAAAGTCTGATCCACAGGTATAATGTTTGGGTTTTTTGTTTCCTTCCTATATAAATAGACAAGACAGGTGTATTTCAAAGTTGTGATTCCATCGTAACAGTGGGAATGCTCTTCTGTAGAGACACTCCTATTGTTATTTTACTGCATACTGTTAATTTTATCTCTGTATGCACTTAATGTAAGTACCGAGCCATGTCATAAATTTAAATTTAAAATCAACTGTACTCATTTTAGACGAATATAGTAATTATATGATAATTGTATGACCGTATATTGCTGTATTTTCTCCATTTAAATTAGCACAGAGTGACATGTTCAGTGTTATGTCATTCAATCTTATGGTACATACTGCAGGTGTTACTGCGATATTTCCAGGGTTCTCTGTAAAATAAATTAATAGCTGCACATAGCTGCACATAAGTACAGTGATAGTGAATTTCTACATATCCTTTCTATCTATTGTCTAAAACGTGAACAGGCCTGCGTTCTGAGATGCCAAGCTGTATCAGGATTGTAATATAAAATTACCTTTTACAGGAGAACCGTTTTAAAGCAGGGACTGCAAAGCACCTTCGCTTAGGTATCAGCAATATTTGCAACTGGAAAAGGATGCCCTTAAAGCCGAAGCCCATTTCCGACGGCGACAGCGCGCGGGCCGCGCGGCCCCGGCCCCGCCCGCAGCGGGGGCAGCCGCGGCCGCGCCGCCGCGGTTCCCTGGGAGAGCCGCTCCCCCCGCCCCGGCTCTGCAGCCGGAGCCGGCTGCCTGCCCCCTCTCCCCTTCTGTAATTACAGAGCGCAGGCAGCGCCGTGCCCGCACAAAGCGAACCTGTGCGGACGGAGCGCAGCGCTCCGGCCCCGCGCCTCCCGCACGGCCGCAGCCGCAGAATAAACGTGCTGTTCACAAAGCACATCGCTGCCTGAAATCATAAGTGCGCATGAAAAGAGATAATGTTCTCTACATTTCGAGTTTTGTTCCTTTATTTCCACAATCGCTTTTCAAGCGCTCCATCTCCTTTCTGTTGCAATACTCCCCAGAAATCAGCATATCTAATTTACGATCTTCAGCACTCAGAAAAGAAAGAAAAAAAAACCCAAACCCAATACTGTAAAGAGATTCAAGGAATAAAACTTTTGCATGTTTAATTTCTACATTACACGAAATCACCAAGAATTTGCACATCTATCCTATTTAAGAAAAACACAGGCCACAGAAATCTTTGTGAGCAGTTTTCAAAAAATAAAATAATTATGTACAATTAATTAAGAACTACTATGAGAAATAATTACTTGCTCGAAAAATAATAACATATTTTTCATTAATATTAGAGTGAAATGCATGCAGAGGGTTATAATGTATCACTCCCATGTGTATACAATTGCATTAAAAATAACACAAAACACCACTTCCAAAAATTTCCAAGAAGAATGTGGAGGAAAAAACCCCATGTAAGTGCACTGTTAGATATGCTCTAATGTTACATTATGTTTAACCAAACACAAACACTACAGATCTCCTACTGGGAAAGAATTAGTCTCAAATACATAGCAGAGTAATAGATTGTTGTTACTAAATATTTTATGATATTGGTAAATGATCCATCTAGCATAAATTTAATTTTACTTGCTATCCCATTTTTCATGCACAATTGAAGTTTGAATTGCATAGGAATAATGGTAAAAACATTTTTACAATGAATTTGATCACAGAACTTACACAATTTATTTAGCTTGGTATCAGACTGATGTGCATCCTTTCAATCCCACCTTACAAAATGAAAGAAAACCTGGCTTTATTAACAATAAAGAAATAGCAAAAACCCCATTTATATTTAAAACACTGAAGTGTGTGAAGAATCTATAAAACAACTGACCTGTTCAAATTGTTGTTTTTCCAATCCATGCACTCTTTTTATTAATTAGGACCCAAACCAGATTGATCGTCATTTTATAACGTTTGACATATTCACTGTCTTCCCACTTCCAGCAGAATCTTCTTAAATTTCCCAGCACTGTGTTTTATTGCTGGTACCATATGCTTTATTGTTCAGCCACAAGAGCTTCACTCTGCACAAAGACTCATTACCTACTGCTTGCTGAGCAGCTTCGGGCTCACTGAGGCTGCCTGTGAGATCACATGGGAGTTTTGTCTGAGAAAGCCAGGCATGCCACTGATTTCACCGGCTACGGATATTTTTATCAGCTGAGGTCTACTATGAGGAAGGAATAACAAATTCTAAGGCTTCTTTAGTTCATTAAGACAGCAGTTGTTATGGAAATCCCCCTGAACTTTTTAAATTATTATCATTCCCACTGTAGCACTGGTCCAAGAAGAATTCAAGAGATTTGTTACAAGTAATTTTTTCTTGCGGGGAGTGGCACAAGCCATGCATTGTCTGCATCGCTCTGCACACAGTACACACTGAAATTAATATTCTGAAGAGGTAATATTTTGCCAACACTTAATCTGCCAGTGTTTATCCTTTATGTGGAGGACAAGCTTCCAAATGAAAAATTATACCTAAAAAACATCCCCTTAATTTAAATTTGTTTCATCAGTCAAGGGCATTATCGTGTAATCTTTGGTCTTAAAATGAGTTTTGTTGGCTTCACTGAGGCTACTCAGGTGAATAAGAATTGGCTATTTGGGCAGGAATTACTTTCAAATACAAATGACAAATTATGTAATACAGTGAAGTCTAATCTCTTCTTGGTAATAGTTGGTGATGCTCTGGGGTTTGTTTTCCTGTGTGTGCATGCGTGCATTTGGTTGGTTGGCTTGGGTTTTCTTGTATATTTTAAACAAAAATTATGAATTTAAGTAACATTTTATAATGCTTTGAAACTTAATATTTACCTGAGTATTTCATATTAGAGTAAGTGAATATCGAGACTCAAATTACAAAATAAAAAAAAAGATAAAAAAAAGAAAAATACATATAATTTTTTTTTTTTTTTTAGTGATCCATTATTAGTATCAGGGTTCCATGCTGGAATATTTGGAGATAGCTTGATTCCTATTGCAGAGTGAATTCCCTGAATATGCTAATTTAAAGCTAGCTTTCTACAAACAGCTAGCTAAAGCTAGCTGGTGATGATAAATGAACATCTCTTCCTTGCCCTGAAAACTCGTACCGAACACGCAATTATCCATAATATTAACATTGCAAAGATGTAGCTATTCTACAAAACAGTCAATTATCTCTAGAATAATTCAGAGCATTTTGATAACATGAGATAGCAAAAGAAACTGTTTTCTCATTAACATTCCACAAATGAAATACCTCCTTATTCTATTTAAGACCTCTCTCATTAGAATAAATGACAGCTCGTAGCTCATGGCTGGCATTATTCTGGTCCTATCAAAGTCCCTGGAAGTTTTGCTGCTGATTTGCATGGAAGAAGGGACAAGCATGACTAACAGATTCACTCGCCTTACCGTGTCGTCATGCAAATCAATGACAAAACTCATTTCTTTATTGTTCTTGGCATCTTGCTTGGATTGTATTATTATGGTTTTGTAACAGTTGATATGCAGTCTCTGTGATTACACTGAATTATACAAGATGGTTAGCAAAGGATTCAGAATTACCTACAACTAAATCCAGTAATGAGTATCTTCTACGCTCTCACATTCATTTCAGTTTTTTAAAAATGCCATTATCCAGAATGAGTGTATTCTGAAGTGCTATCATTTTCATCTACCCAAAGACAAGGGCTGAGCAGATGTTTTGTGGCTGAGAACCTTCCATGTCTCTTAGGCAGGAAACACTCCTGTGTGTACATTAATGAGAAGAAATGAAAGCAGACTAGAAAGATTGCTAACGAGCAGCTGGTTTAGCTACAGCTATGCATATTTTTTTCCCCTGGCGATACCACTGATGATGTCACAATGCTCATGTAGGAAGACATAAACAAAAGGCAGGCATTTTTGCTGCAGTAGCACTGGGAGAAAAAAAGAAAACCCAAACGTTTGACAGATGGAAAGAACAAAAACTGGTCAGGAAAAGAGTACTATTGTCACATTCTTGTGTGTTGTTATATACACTATGGAGCAGTCCTCAAATCCTGAAAGGTGGTTAGAGAAAAACATGTTCAAGGACATGATACAGTTAAACCAGTTAGCAGCAAAGAGTTGTTTCTGCAGGAGACAATAGCAGCAAGCAGTCTCCATGCTGAGAGGCACCCTCGGTTAATCACTTCTTCAAGGTTGGTGGGGGGAGGGAGGGAAGCTTCAATCCTCCATAGTGGAATTTTGAATTTCCTAAATATAACTTGACATTTTTAGGTAGCTAAATTATATTCCTTCCAATCCTGTCCTCTCTTCTGAGAGAGTTACTAAATAGAAGGAAGTCTTTGTCAGAGCCACATTGCTGAATTTCTGCCCAAATATACTATTGAGGAAGGGCATTTCTCCCACCACAAATGGGATTATAGATCACCCAAGAGATTCACAGTAGCCAAAACCTAGGCCTCCCTTGTCACTCCACAGAAGGAAGAGGTTCAAACGAGACTTGACACATACTTCTTGACACCCCTCCTGTAACAATCAGGATTTCTTCAGTAGAATCCAAATTCACCTCTCCTTGAAACAACAGTGGGAGAATACAAATGCTTAGCAGTCTCTTCCACCCAGGGTCTCCCATGGGAGTAGAGGTAAGCAAGGGCTCTCCTTTCTCGAATAAAAGGTTCTTCTTGAGTCCAAATGGAAACAGAAGCAAGAACCTTCTGACCATCTGTAAATAAGGGTAAATTGTCAGATTCCCATGTCTGCTTTGTAAGAAAATTAACAGGAAAATTCTTACGCTTTCCTATTTCACAGAAGTTACAGCAAAAGTGAACTGGTTAAGGAAATTTGGACTCTGAGTAATTGCCATCATTAATAAGTAATAATTTTATAAATCCTGGTTTATTCTACTCTATATGCATTTAGACTTGAGTACTTTTATAAAGGTTATATGCATTGAAATACATATCTTGGACAGAATTCAGAAACAAATAAAAACCCAAAGACCCACAATAACCCAAAACCAGCCATATATCACAGACCAGACTAAGCCCATGATTTGAACTACAAATAATTTCTACCTAATACAACTACATCATTTCATTTGGTATCAAACTTAATCTCCTGTTTAGTATCCTGTATCATAGTTGGATGAATCACATACGCATCAAACTTATGGGAAGAGCACTGTTCAATTTCATGAAACAAAAAAGAGACAACTTGCACCACTCAATGCCTTGTTATTCTAAAGGCTGGAATCCTGTACCTTGCAATAAAATGCAATTGGTCTGGTTTCTTCAAGTACACCAGAAATGTAATAATTTCCATACCAGTTATGTAAACAGATGGTTTTGCTGAAACTTTTACAGTCTTCTAGTGGCAAAAAGATTTGAAGTCCAGGATTTAGAAAATGTATTCAGTGGACCATGCATGCTCTACTCTAGCTCTTACAAACAACATGGTTCATATGCCATGGCTTGCAATTTCAATTTATGAGCTACAGCAGCAGCAGCTCTAAATGCTTCAGCACTGGCTTTCAGGCTTGGAAATAGATGATTTGTGGTCACTACTTCAGTAAGATCTATAAACCCTGCCCATGCAAACTCCTCTAAATTGAATTAGGGATGAGGCATAGGTGCAAACTTCCTGTGGAATCGTGCCATTACAGAAGTTCTACAGAGTTAAAAATGTTCACCTAAGAGAAAATATTAATTAAAGTTACAGCCAGTAACACTTGGGTAGGAAAATCTTAAGTATAAATTCTACATATTTTTTTCTAGACCAAATATAATTTAATCAAATAAATTTCCTCACCCTGGCCCCAAATGTCTAGCTTTCTCTAGATCAGTCACAGCTAAACAATATTCAAGGAGTGTCACGTTAACTATTCAGTTCCAAATACTAGGGCTTGATAGATTTCCACAGCCTGCCATGACAGGAGGAATAACATTCTTTGGGTTCCTGAATGCACAAATATGAAAATATTACTCATTCATAAATGGCATTCCCAACAAAGAAATACAACCATGTTTTGAAATAAGAGCCTAGTTAGTGAAATGAATGGAAATAGACAAAATCTATTTGAAAGGCGATATCCTCAGATCAACAGATGGATGGAGAAAGCAGGGGGCTTTCTCCAAGTGAGGGGCAGGCCTGTGAGCTGCTGTTCTGGTTTCTGGCACTCTAGCAATCCCATCACTGAACTTCATACAGTGACTCTTGGCATGTCAGTGTAAGGCTGCCATTGCTGTCCTTCACTCCTACTTCTGGCAGCCTTACTCTGCCATGCCAATTTGAAGGCCACCATCTATAGTGTGTATTTTTTCTGCTCTTAGTATCTGCTTGACCAGAGGCAGCTTTTTAAACCATGGGGTAAAAAACTGGAAGAGAGTAAGAATGAATTCTCTTTACACATACAGTGGCATATAGCAGAGCATATCCTTCCCCAATGATTTTTAGCACAAGTCTTGAAAACCTTGTTTTTAACGATACATTCTTGCTACATCTTACATAAGCTACATTTTCGAAGATAAAATTAACCTCTTCCAGGCTGATATCCCAGAGGAGAACACACTTCCTTTCAGAAAGCAATGCTGAAAAATATTATGCTTTAGAAGAGTTACTGTACACAAATAAAAATATTCCTCTGCAGTAAACACACAGTTTCTTTTTCCTTTCACAATCTTTCTCAAAATTGATACTCATCTATAAAAATCAAAGAAATACTAACTTTGGCAGGCAAACAAGTGTACTGAGAGGTGTACAGCCGAGTAGCAAAATAATTTCTTGACTGTTGTTTCTTTAGATGATGTGAATAATCAAGGCAAATACTTAATAATATAACACTTGGTACAGCCATCATTCAAAATGCCAGAAGAGCATGGATTCTTTCAAATAAAACAAAGTTCTGTTTGAAAAGCAAAGTGGTCATTCTCTTGGGGGAAAAAAAAAAAAAAGACAGAAGAAGGCAGACACTTGACAAGAAATTGCCTGTGCTGTCTTGTATGGCTTCATAAGTCAGCTTTCCTCCATCCAGTTTCCATGACACCTCAGATATTCCAATATGATCCATGCTGAGGAGTAATTCAGAACTACTCAGAGTATGCTTGGTGTGGTTAGAAATTGTAA